TTAATTAACCGAATAAGAAAAGCTGCTCAAAACATGAACGCAGTAATGCTGCGACAAATGCACAATAAAGTGATTACACGAGGACAAACATGTTTCAACTTAAACGGGCAGAACTGCGAAAACCTTGTCTTGTGCCTTAACTTAATTGTACATTGATACATAACCTTTTACAGGAGGTTTTTGTTTGCATCCCTAACCCTAACCTATTTCATTGCATTTCAACGTCACTTTCCCTGTTTATCTATGGTTACTTGAGACGTTGATTCGACACTACATGGGGGGATTTTTAGTATAGAAAGCTAGTAGTAAAAGACAAGAGAAATAAGATAAGGTGGATGTCAGTAAAAACAATTCCTTATGGACACCAAATTGTTGAAGGAAGATGTTCCTGCATGAATTCCCAGATTCTGGCCTATAACTTCCATACAATCCCATGTTGTTTGCGTGTACTTCGCAATGAAATATTGCAAATGCATCGCAAAGAAATCGAAAAAAAAGAAGAGTACCGAGGCCTAAGAACGTAGTATAGTAAGATACGACGTGCCAATGCCATGCGGCTGGTACTAACTGCGCAGTAAGCAAATGGGTTCGGGTTTCTTTTAGCACGGAGGTCACTGTAATTGGCAGTAGTTTAATCGCTCGATGCGATCGTACCTATAAGTTGTTGTTGCAGGTTCGCTGGGCAGCTAATCGTACACCTTCGTGATTAAATGGAATATTGTAAATKATTTAGRGGGAATCCTGTAAAGCTGGAAAGCTTGTTTGTTGTCGCCACAAATGGCGAAATTCCACAACACCCATTATCATAATGGAACTAAAAATATAGCAGAAAAGGCCATCAAATTTAATCTATCTCAAACACTACTCGCATGCCGGTCGTAAGCTGCAGCCAGATCCCCCGCGAACCCATTTGTCATTCTCGTCTAGAACTATTTCGAGATGGGGTCTGAAATGAGTAAAAAGCACTCTCCACGGAAGTCGTTGGCATTTACGTGATGTTCCGATTGCGCTCTTGAATTTCAAAAAGCTAATCGAATTAAAATCTCAACGCTGCTCTGATTCCAGTACATCCCGCACGCCTATGCCGTATATATGAAACCATCGAAGCCCTAAGAAAAAATCAGTGGCGAGTGCAGTGCGGTGCAGCTCTAAATCTAAAGTAGGCGCTTGGGGGCCCCATCTCGTCCAGTTCTCGACCCGAGACAACAACAGCTCGGGGTGACGGCGGCACAAGCCGACAAACGAAGCGCCGATTCCTGGAAGGACTCCCTTTTCGAATATTTAGAGAAAAGGCACAGGAAGACCGAAGTCGCGCACAAAATATGGTCTTGATTTATTAAAGAATTCGACTTGACCAAGCTTTTGTTAGAGAGAACGAAGGCGACGGCCGGGACAGGACGGTCATTCGATCCGCCAAGGGTTTCAACTGTTCTCAGACATCATTTCTAAAAACCTGAAATAACTCTGAAGAACATGCAGAATGTTCTAATGGCAAAACGGCTATTTCAATGAAAATTAGACCTGTTTGCATACCTGACCATAAAGACCCTTCTTTCTTTGCCTGTCTATAAGCAGTGGTTTTCTTCTAAATTGACCCTTGCACTTGACAGAGACTTATGGTATTGAGCTCATAGAGCACGCATCAAAGAAGTAGATGTTTGTCTGAAAAAATCGCGCGAAATCCGTCAAATTTTGTACCATTTTTGTAGCAAGAACTCGAGGAATTCAACAGATTACTGTAAAAAACAGCTTACTGAAATAATCGAAAATTATCGCCGATTTTGAGCCAC